ATCTCGGTGGTGCAAAGGTTTACAAGTGCGCTCGATGCGATTTTGAGATTGACAGGGATCACAACGCAGCCCGCAACGTCCTTCTGAAACAGCTGAGCCAAGGTGACTTGGCGCTGGGGCCTACCCCGCTTGAATGATTAGCATGCTAACGTTTATTCTATAACCGTGACGTTGATAAAAAATAATTTTTATCGTGGATGATCGGTTTTCTGTAGGAGATAGGTAAACATATCATATATTTTAGTACATGTATAAAGATTTTTGTATGACATACATGCATACATGGGAAGGTTATATTGCATGATTTGAATTTTATAGGTGAAAAATCAGTGGCATTTCAGACTTGAAGAAAAGGAATTCTTCTACAGCCGTATTCAGGGTAAAATGCGTAGTAAGGACCAAAATTCGACAATGATAGTTGTTATATTGTTCTTATCATCATTGATCAAGTATCCATTTTTCTAGTTAATTTGAATTGAATATGAAGTATCATGGAAACTAAAGTAACGAAAATGATTTTAAACGATTAATAAATGAATCGAATTTATCTTATCAACAGAGACGCTTAAGCATGAATGTGAAAGTTGAACTTACAGCCTGAGATAAAATAATGGATTGGCTTCATCTTTGTTTCAAAATTAGGATTTCAATGATATAGATCTTTTAGCTTGTGAGGGTTAAAGGGGTGTAATTCTCGTAATTGAAATATACAAGTACTAACAGTATCATTTCAAAGAAATTTTTTGCAGCAAAACAAATCTACCATACCCATACAAATGTTTGTCGTTATAAAAAACTGACTGCATGTATGCCTTTATAGAGAGCAAAATACATTGAAATGGGACTAGTCATACTGTGGGTTTAGAGAATTTATATAGTGCGTGTGTTTATAGAAAGAGAACTTAGAGAGAGGTTTGACTATAATAAAAAAGAAAGAAAATACTGTAATTCGTTTATTATCAAGAAAATTCCTGTAAATGTTCGTATTTTTATATTAAAAGCAATTTCATACTAAGCCTTCGGAATAAGTATTTTAAAATGTTATTATATATTTTTAATCATGTATTTGCTTAAAAAAATATTTAGATTAATCAATGTGTCAAAATAATATTATAACGCGCGTCAATTAGCCGGAAAATGAAATCTTAATAATAAATTCGTCGAGACATAGAAATATAAAATTCAAACAGGTCTTTATTCCTTTTAACTCGGACTTTTCGATATTGACATAGAAACAGATCCATAGCCAAATGCACAAGTGTATAGAAAATAGTTATTAGAACTGGAATAAAATCGATGTTACGCACGATAAAATATATTGTAAATTTCTTCCCGAAATACGATGAAATATTATAAGATAGCGTTAATTGTTAACCAAATATTTTATTAGAAATCTAAAAAGATTCTTCAACAAATACGAAATGACCTTGAAGCATAGCATCCAACATAATGATAACGACAAGCATACATTTTTACTGTCCTGTACTGTAATAATGATAAAAATAACAAAAACTAAAAATAACAAAAATTAATATACTTAACAAGAGAAACACGCGCCGAACCATACTACGGGGAAAATCAAGGAATGGTTATAGTAAAATAAAATTACGATTATCAACTGGCCGGCGAATTCGCCAGACCTGAATCAAATTGGAAATTATTGAAGAACAATATCCAAAAAATGAGGTTTTTCTAAAGGAGGAGTTGGAGAAATTCGATGTTCTGTCTTAAAAGGATTACAATCGTCCCCCTCTATAGTCACCTCTTATATAGTTACTCCTTAAGTCACACTGTCATCCAGTCAATTTTTTCAATAATAAAGTGGCTCACATAAAAAACGCAACACGAAAAAAAAACGGCGAGATACGAATACCTCGCCGTAGGGAGAACCTGGACAACCAAAAGGTGAGTGTATTGATTCATCAATATATACAGTATTGATGATATCGCTTCTATCTTTTATCTTTTTTTTAGCGTTGCACTTACTGTATTACGACCAAATGGGAAGGTGGACGAAAGGGCTATATAAAGTACAAACGCTTTTGATTGTTTGTAAATTAAAAAAATAAATCTTCACATTCTAACGAACAAACTGATTCATTTTTCATAATTATGCCTTGAATCCCTATAGAGAAACGCGCCCGTATATACACGCTCCGGAAAGAAGGATATTCGATGCGGGAAATCGTAGTATCGGAACAAGTAAACTCGGCTTCCGTCTACCGGATATGCAAAAAGAAGGAAGAGACTGGGCGCTTCGACGACAAGCAAAAACCGGTCGCCCACCAATCCTCTCGACACGCTACGAAAGAAACGCGTGCCGATTAATCCACTCTGGAAAATTTTCCACTGCTGTCGAGGTCCAACGGGAGCTTAAAATGAGTTGGATGTTGACCTTCCGGTGCAAAGCATATGACGTATGATCCGGAGAATCGCTCGCATAAAACGAAAGAAGCCTTACCTTAAATAGACACACGAAAAATGTCGGTTGGCGTGGGCGAAAAAATACCGAACCTGGACGGCCGACGAATGGCGACGCGTAATTTGGTCTGACGAGAGCGAATACCAAGTTTTCGGGTCGGATGGCTGGAAAGAAGCCCGGTGGTCAGTTGAAAGACCGCCAACCGTCAAATTTGGCGGTGGTTCGATTATGGTTTGGGTTGCGTGACAGCGACGGTGTTGGCGAGTTGAGAAAAATTGTGGGAAAAATGAATGCGGATGGCTATGTGGAACTCCTAACAAATAATCTTTTAGGGTCAAGGGGCTGGCGGATAGTGGATTTTATCTTCCAGCAAGATAATGACCCAAAACACGTCTCCGGAAAAGCAAAACAATGGTTCGCCGACAAAGATATCACTTTGCTAGACTGGCCATCCCAGTCACCCATCCCCCATAGAAAATTTATGGAATGAGGTGGATATGCGGATGAGGCAACTTCCTGGACCACTTTATCCACAGAACAGTTGTGGGAAAAGTTGCCAGTGGCGTGGAAGAGCATAGATCTCGATTATTGTACAAATCTATGCAAAAGGATTAGTGAGGTAATAAAAGCGAAGGGTGGTGGTTATATAGAACATCGAATGAGGTTAGAATTATGTAGTGTGAAAAAAAATTAAGCAGTTTGTTACTTACTTTAGTTAGACATTCGCCCTCCTCCATTTCAGTGCAACACTAAAAAATTAGTGTAACGTCAATTAAGGGCCTAAATAAACAACTCTAAACTTATTTCCTTCTAAAAATAAACTGAATACTGTAAATGTATGATTTTTAAGGGGGCGATACTTTTTTAGAAAAGGTCAAATAAGATTGCCCGAGCACCTGATCAAAAGCGTTGAGCGATCTTTGTGCATCAATATTTACGTCACCTGCAAATGATCACATTCACCCAAGTTGCGTATTTGTATTATTGAACTAAATTTTTTTATTTCTAAATATACATTAGGCAAAATTTTGTTAGATGTAAATATGACACCTTATTGTACCAGTTGACAATGGTAAACTTTTAATTTTTATTGAAGTTATAAATGCAAAACAAGTTGCAAGAAAAATGTGCCAAGTAAACGAAAATTTATAAGCTCTAACAACCAAGAACAAAATGCACATTTAAGAAGACAAAAAAGATAACCTCAGTCATTTCAAAACATTATCAACAAAAATCTATGCATAAACTTAATAGAGTGATTTCGTCCGTTTTCACAACATAATATGTTCATTTATTTGAGAAAACATGGTACTTCTGCAAAATAACACACTAATCCACACTGAGAAAGAAGTCACGAAATAGGTTCAAAAAGAGAAAATCAATGATTATGGCCTAATCTCATGACCCTAACTAACTGGAAGTCATGATAAAATTCGTTTTTTGCAGAGGTTGCAGGCTCAATGCAATATGAAATGCGAATGATGTAACAGTTAATAGTTTATAATAAGACAGAAATAAAATAAAGCGGGTACATCTGAAATTTCATTTTTAAAAAATCGGGGTATTACTTTTTTGGAGACTGTACAATGATGCACATGTAGATGTATAGTAATTAATTTACCATGTTGGGTAAGTTTTGATTGAAATTATCAAATAAAGTTGTGCTCTGAATTGTATGAAAATTTCCTAAATGAATTATAGATTATTGAAATATGCATGTACGACCATCGTTATGTTCAATGATCATATATACTGTCAATTAGGAAATTTTTATACAGTTTAACGTTAACGTTAAGTTGTGATTTTTTCAGCCAAACAATTCTCACGAAGAATTACATGCACATTTACATCATTTCAATAACGAGAATTAATAGTGAAAGGTTTTGTTCGAAACAATCTTTAGAAGCCATAAGACTAGTCAATTCTAATATAAAAGAGACCTCACACCCTCACAACTCACAAGCAACTCACAAGCAAGTCATAACCTAAAAGATCCATATTATTAAATCCTAATTACGAAGCAAAGATGAAGTTCCAATCAATTATTTTATCTCTGACCGTCGTCGCGGCTTCCGTAATTTATGCTCAAGCTTGCACAGTTTGTAAGATCCCGTACATTCGATTAAGTTGTGAATTCATAAAACTCTTCTATACTAACGTTATTTTCATTTCTTTAGTTTTGAATGGTACTGCATATAGAAGTCAAACTGGCAACGTAGGAGGTGGATGTTTTGGTTTGGGCGGCGATAACAATATAACTGATGTTACGACCAGTAATCCTGGTACCAAGTACACCTTTTTCTCTGATTACGGCTGCAAAGGAACAAAACTTGGTCATGGCACTGATAAAAAACATTTCGATCCGCCGGTAAAGATGCCCAAATCAATCAATATAACATGTCCAGATTCAACATAATAATAATAAAAAATTTAATGTAACTATTTAACGATGACATTTTCTTAAATAAAGTCTATCATGTAATTATATGTACATGTGTGTTGCAATAAATTCTTTTTACCATAGCGATAGACAAAGAAGTTTAAATTAAGCATAATATATGCTTACAAAATTGGTGTGCTTATAAAGTATGATAATGGTACAACTTCGATACCCGTTTCTTAAAAAATACAAATATATGTACACAGATAAATCGACTTGAAAGTTATCCGTCTTGGCTCAAAATTATTAGATAAAAAAATATGGCATCTAACTCACATTGTAATACTAACAAGATTTAACGTTAAGAAAGAACTTTTCCTGCACTGATAAACGTTAATTTTTTCATTATCACATGTAACGGTAATAATGTATCGAGCATCAACTAAACATAATTTCAGCTGATATATCTAATTTAATTATTACTTCTTCTAACGCTAGTACAATAATGTAGACACTACATGCCATTGCTGTGGTTATTTTTCGAAGAACAATAGCGAACCCTGTTATTATGTCATTAAAACCTAAAATCCGCATGGAAATAATGATGGAAAATCTTTATATCCTTCAAAAAAAAGACTGGCGTGAAAAATTCCACGAGCCTCTATTTTGAAATGTATTGAAATTACAATACATATCCAGAATTTGATAAATGTGATAGATCATGAAGCGCATCAATTTTACCAACGAGTCTTTGTTTATTAATAAAAAGTTCCAGCTTAAAGAATTGTATATGTATTTATAAACTAAAAATTTTGAAAAAATTGATATTTAAGAATATGAGGTCCTATTTAGAGAATTCTAAAGATAAATTTTTTGCATTGTTATCTTTAATTACACTTTAATTGTGCTTTTCATAAGAATGTATTCTTAAAGATAATAATTTGTTATAACTTTTTATTATTTAAACTTGATAAAAATATCTATTTTATCATCAAAAAATGATTGTTAAGCTGGAAATATTTGGAATAAGATAATAAATTATGAGATAAAAATTTAAATTTGTTCAAAGAGATATTTGTACAAGTACACTCGGTGGAAGAAAGTTAGGCACTTTATAAATCGGGTCTTTTACGACATCCTGAATCACGAAATCCCTAAAGATCGAAAGCCCGAAAGATCGAAATCCCGAATAAATGGCATCCCAAATGAACGACATCCCGTGTTAATTTTAGTATTTTATGCATTTTTGGGATACATATACTATACTTTCGGAATTTCGTGTATTCGGGATGTTATTCATTCGAGATGTCGTTCATTCGGGATGTGGTGGTTCATTCGGATTCCGATCTTTCTGGATGTCGTTCATTCGGGATTTCGAATCTTTCGGGTTTATGAACGTTCGAGATTTCGATCGTTACCGTTATATTGTAAACCACATATTTTTAGCGATTCGTAAAATTTTGTTATCATTTTGATTAGATTAATCATTAACAATCGCGTATTATGCAAAAAATTGATCGATTACTTCGAGACGCGATCCAGTGGTTCAAAACATGTGATTTTATTATTGATTTATCTAATCAAATGATGATAAAATCACATCTATTGAACTGAACTATACGCCAAAATATTGCATTCTAAATAACTGTTCAATTATATTCTGTCAATTGTCAAGGTGGTCAATCAATTTTCATCCATTGATTGCTAATTGATAATTATTATTAATGATTGAAAATCAGATAGGGGATGTTTGCCAACAACTTTCAAAATCTGGTGATTTTATTATCATGAATTCAAAATTATATCCATCATTTTTTTTAAACAAAATAATATGCTTTTCATATGGCAGATGATATAAAAAGCAGGATCTTTCAGGAAGAGATAAAATGTGCCAAATTAATCCCACTATCATCAGTTCACAATTTATTTGAGCATTTATGAAATAACATTGTGTCAAAAACTGCCGTTAAATTGGTAGTGTCTTACTCCGCCGAGTGATTCAAAGAAAAGTTTTGGATTTTGCTTATAATTCTAATTAGTTGTCATCTATTATGTCGCATTATATTTAGAAATTAATGTTATGTTGCTACATTTTATAAATATCATGAAAGCGGTGTTAAATTGTCGAAATAGAAATATAGCGATAGAATTTAGAATCGATCTTCTTTTCTGACCGGTGTGCTGAATCGAGAGTATCTAAACCATCGAAAAAATTTTGTATTTATATAATTAATCTCAAAGAATTTTGTAATGAGCAGTTTGACCAATCAAGGTCAAAAAGATTATTATGATATATTGTTTAAAACCTACTTTTTGTCATATGGTTGATTAATTGCGAAAAGTTTAACTTGAGTGCCTTGCTCAATGTTATTCCATGGCTGTGGGTTATTTTTTCTACGAGAAGGTGTTGACAGTTTAGAATTATACGAAAGAATAGACGAACTTCTTTTTCTTTGCTTACCTATCCCAAACAACTTCAGGACCCCGAGCGAGACGAGTTAAATACCAAGCAGAACCACACACAGCGACACCCTTTTATATTAAAAATATATTCAATAAATATATCATAAATATATCAAAGATCTTAGTTAATAAATGATATAACATACTGTAACAACATAGATTGGTATAATTTCCGCTCGGAACCAATGTTTAAAGAAAGTGCTTGTTGCAGCCATTTTTTTGTAAATATGTTATAATTAGCAGATCAAAAACAATAACAAAATAAATATCGGAGAAAAAAGTTGATAAAATGATCAAGGCAAATTCTCGAAGGTTTATAAAGAGAAAATTTTCACTTTGTACTAATAATGAATGCCTTGTATTCTTTCGGGAGAACTCGCCGTATGCACAGTCATACATCCAATAACGCACATGCAATCTAATGATTAGAATTTACATAAAATTTTTTTTTGACAGTTTCCAGATTTGGTGTATACATGAAACGTATCTCATGCATATTGTTATATTAATTATTTATTTTTATTCGTGCGATTATCGTTATTTGTTCCTCTTTTATGTGAATCATTATTAGGGAGTCAGGCGTACGTAATTTTTTTTCGTGTATGTACATGTATTTAGTTAGTAAAACGCCACATTTTTAATTTGTTTTGTTTCGAAAAAAGAGATAAAAGATGATCTATCAACAATTATCCAGTAAATCCAATTCGGCCAAAGACAAATTTAGTTTATTATAAGTGTTACGTCATTTTTGTGATGTTCGAGTTATGTGTCTTAGTTTCATGTCTTTTATACGTAATCTGCTATAATTCATGAAATCAGGTGCATGTACCGTGCGAACCAAAATCGAAATACATGTAAAAAATATTATCCCTGTTATACTTTAATTTTTACTAGGGTTTTTAAAATGCTAGAATATTTATTAAATTACAATACTATACAACAATAATACTAATGCTTAAGATTAATCTAACTCGCAAAATTTTGAATATTCTAATTATAAAAACCTTGCCAAAAACTAAATGTATTGCAAAGCCCAACAATTCTTGTCAAAACTATTGCATATTCTTTGCGAATTTTTCATTTATAAACCATTTTATATATACTTGATATTAAAGTTTCTAATTTGCTAATAAATATTTTTTATTTTAAATAAAATAATTATATCTTACTATATATACATAACTTGGATTTTTCTGAGAGTTGTATAAAATGTAATTAATTAAAACATATTCGTTTTTGCAATTAGTACAACACTCAGAAAAAATCCAAGCTATATAGATTATAAACTTCATTCTATATAAAAATGAAATATTTATTAAAACTTTAATAAAGATAAAAAGCTCTGTGATTTATTAATAAATTTGACCACTATAGATCTATTATGTACTAATATTTCCTATAAACTGATAATAAAATAAATATAAAATATCCTATTATCGGATTTCATGAACTTTGATATAGTACAAATAACTCTCAATATATAAGAAACGCTTAATATGAAAAACTCTCAATATAAGAAAGATGATCTATTTTCAATCACATACAATTCCTATAAAAAGACAAATTGAATGGCTGACGAGCACGTAAAATGTGACAAATTCCAGCGTGGTTTTTTCACGCAGAAGGCACGGATCGTCAAATTCGTGCTATTTCCATGTGAAAAAACCGTGCCCGAAACGTATTTATGTATACGTAACTTGTCACATTTTACGTGCTCGCTATATAATTTTCGTAGATATTACGTGCTTATAGGGAGTGCATGTAGTTATTTAAGTACATGTAGTTTCTACTCATATTTATTGGATTTGGCGCATAAAAAAAGCCAAAGAGTTCGGATGTTAGGAAATATTCAAGTTTAAGAGTTTTATTTTGCTTTTGAATGCATGAAATATAGAATTGAGAATAAATTCGGCTAAATGATTTCTTCTAATACACATCGATTCAAAAATGCCTAATAAAAAGAATACGAAGGAAGTTTATTATCAGTCTATAGGTTTTGCTGGAGGAGTTATGAACAGTCCAGCGTTAAACAAAGCCAAAAACTTACATAGAAAACAATATTGTCAATAATGGTAAAACAATAATTTTTTTGAAATCATGTTTTGATAATCAGTCTTATGGCAGAGATTAATACAATATATCAAAGTTGTAAAAAGATAACTACGTACGTTAATAATAGCGATAGTAATACTGTAGATCATAAATGCAAAAAACGCAAAAGTCTCACAGCTCCTCCAGGTTCTTGCATGTGAGGCGGATTATTCAATGCTTTTCGTCTGAAAAACAAATAGTACTCACATTATTGATAGTTTGTATTGAGAATACTTGGATTTCAAGTGATAAAAATTGTAAGATAAAAAATAAATACTGTGAAATTTCAATTTTTACATGATAATTCTCACGATCAGCTGACATTTTCCGGAAGGTAGATTTTCGGACAATTATTTTAACAAGTAATTTTTTTATCAATTGAAATCCAAGTATTCTCAAGACAAAACTACCAATAAAGTGAGTATTAACCAGTTGCCTTTCAGAACAGTACTAATACTTGTTTTTCAAACGAAAAGCATTGAATAACCCGCCTCACATGCAAGAACCTGGAGGAGCTGTGAGACTTTTGCGTTTTTTGCTTTTATGATTAGAGTTTATTATTATCGCTATTATTAACGTAGTTGTCTTTTTTGACAACTATATGATACGTATTTTTATCGTAAAACCGTAAAGTTAGAACGTATTCAGAATCAAAAGTGAGAGAAATTCTGAAACATATAAGTATTTACATAATCTACACAAATAAATAGTAGCTGGAACTGTGAATCAAATCTGTATCTATCAACATCTTAACAGCTTGACATTATTGCTTTTTTATTATAATATCGATATTCAAAATTAGTGCGAGCTTACAGATATTATTAGTTTGTATTAAAAGTGGAATCCCGAATCTATGAAGTCGGTAATTTTAACCGATTTACCCAGCAAGTAGCAAAGAAGATTGTTGGAATATCTGACTTGCATGGGTTAGAGGAAAATTCAGGGTGTATATCTCTGTGCTGGTTCATCAAATAATTCGTGAAAATATAAAGTTAAAAGAATAAAAATATGCGAATGAAATTAAATAATATTAATAATAACCTATGAATGCATTTACTGTTTTTGCATGTATTCATATTCTAATTTTGTACAACAGCCATTTCTTTCATCATTATTTTTAAATAAATCAGAAAACATCATAAGGATACATGCACTTATTTTCTATAGCTTAACACAGTTATGAACGCAATCGATCGATAAGGTCGAAATACCATGTCTTAAGGATTCCAGCAATTAAATTCTGTTTCAAACAAAGTTCTCAAAATAATAAAAAAAAGTGGTATCAATACACTGAGTAAAATGCGATGACGTGAGTTAATATTGTATTAGTTAAAATATTAAATTATGTTACGTGTCATATAAATAATTTACAAATACGAATGAAAAAATTTGATATAACAAGCACAACAACTGTGTTAAACGGAATTTTAATCTGACAGTATAAACTGATCATTCGTTATGGCAATGATGCAACTATTACCAAAAACATGATCTTTAGTCCGCATTGAATACAAATGAGGGTTAGTTTTTGGCTAGTTTTATAGATCAAAATGAAATATTAAAGACGACTAAATAAAAAAATTTGTCTCTAGAATGTCTTTAAATAGAGTATCATACTCAGCACATGATATACTCTCCTTGTAAATTTGACATGTTAAAAAATTATAATTATGATTTCAATCTTTATTTTATAAATACATGAGTAAAAAAAGGGTTATTATGACATAAGAAAAAAATAAGCGATAGTGATCGGAATCGATCTAAAGGCATTCAATATCTAATCAATATTTAACTGTAAGAATTCTATTTTAACTATCAAAAAAACACGAGCCTTTTACATGTTCTAAGCATTACATATTTATTTTGTTCGTTATTTTATAAAAATTATTTGTAGTTAGACTTTTTAATACCAATTTTAATAGTAATAGTCAAATTTTCAGCACCAGATATATCACGCGAATTATTTTTTATTTGCTGAATTTAAACATGTAAAATTACATTTTTTTTATACAAAATTTAATTTAGCATTGCACATGGTACCCTATTTGGAAATGATAATTCAAAAAATTCAACAATGGCGCAGTATTTGATGCGACTAAGCCATTTGCACTATATCACCATTCAATTCGTCTTCCGACCACTAGTATCGAGATATCATCATTATATGCCAGATTTTTGCCAATTTACATTTAAAATTTGAGCGTGCGATAATCTTAACTCCTAATTCTAACCAATTTGTTTACACAGAGACCCGGATATATAGATATCAGTATAAAACGGGAAGTTTGAAATAAAATGGAATAAATCGGTGCAAAAAGAATTTTTATATAAATATATGTATTACAAAAATTCTTTTATTAGATTGTTGAATTTTTATTAGATTGTTGAATAATTATCCCTAATTTTTTTTTCATTTGAAACAAAAAATTATCGTTACGTTTATTTATGAAAATGCTTCCTAAGCAAAAACGAATAACTGCATATAGTCGTGCACAAGATTTTTGTCATGATAATGGAATTTTATTACATGTATGTTGGCTTGTGGTCATTCAATTAAATGGGAACATAACTATTAGTTCCCATATTAATACAGAAATTAAAAGAAAATCGTAGACACTTAATAGTAATGAATAGACAATTTAATTTAAATTGATTTTGGAACAAAATTTCATCATGTAGTGTTAGTACTTATAACAAATTTTGGATGATGATTCTTTATAAAGAATCTTTTCATGCACCTTCAATTATCTATTATAATAATAATTAATATACATGATTAATAAAATTCAATCTCGGAATTTTTTCAAAATCAAAAAGGATTTTTTCAAAACCACAACGGGATTTTCCGTGTCCCTGTTATTTACCTCTTAAAAATCAGGTGAATTATGCTGTGACAATGAAAGTTTATCGGTAGCTATAGAACGATACCTAGAGATCGGAATCACGTGGAAATACCACATTCGATTCGTCTAGGCATGATGAATCGGATGGTTGCATATTTTTTAATTTGCGTCATGACAGCCGTTTTTTTAAAAGAAGACAATGAATGTATACGGTAAAATTTTTTTCGTGGTTTTCCGTGCGGACTGCATTTGACTTTCTCGTACAGCACATGTGAACAATGAAAATCTTACATTATACTGTTACCGGTCCGGTATGTCTATGATACTCGGGTACTACACAGCATACATAAATTTGGCTTTTTGATTCGTCCATTTAACAAAAGCAGATTTTCCCGATAATGAAATTTGACTTACCAATTACAGTGTAGTTCATTAAATATTCTGGATTCTGTTACACCTGATAGAGGTACATACAGATATTATATCTATATAATGTATCGATATATTTAATGTGGGCTACTTGATTGTTAGTATCAGTATTCTAATAATGATGAGAAGTCAAAAAGCAAAATGTTTACTCGTAACATTCAGGACATATCTACAGATACGAATATATTTTTCTTCATTTCCACAAAATAGCTCTATAAACGCATTAACAAAACAGTCAACCAAAACAATTACATTAGTCAAAATGTTAGAAACGACTCAGCTTTTTCGGTAGATTTCGAATGAAGCTATAAACAGAAATTAGATTTTTCTCCAAATTGTCGCTGAATTTCGAAGATTCAAGTGTAATACATTTGTGATAAATCTTTATCGAATTAGGAATTAACATGCTATAATTTTGCCAAGCAAACTCAAAATTAACAATTGAAAATTAACTTATTGAACAAAACCTCCTCATATATGAAACTATTGAGAATTCTCGTAATAATTCACATGTGTACATGTACAAATCTAAAAGATCAATCGCTAAAACGATTTCCCCCAAGATTTTCATTATAATCATTATGTTTGACTCGTTACATCTATAATCACTATCATAATATATCAATATCAAGTTTCTTTTTGCATTATGATTTATCAATGCACATTCATGTAACGGTAACAGTGCAGTAAATGTTTGTGAAAAATTTTCAGCCAATTGACCAAACCGGTTTTTGTTGCAATGAATGGATTTTTAAACGCAGAACCTGTTTTTAGGTGTTACAAATACATGTATTCGGTATTTATAATGCGATGATCCAAATACGTATACCATCGGGCACCTTTATCCTTTCTCTTTTCGGAACAATCATATTATTTTGACGTAACGCGAACGTATAAATTTAACTTATTCAAGCTTTGGACGATTTTTTGGAATCCTTAAAGTTTAAAGCTATTCTTGTCTTTTCGTTTTCAAGCAATAAATAAAGTATGGATATGTAATTAAGAGGGGAAAATTAAAGATATTTTCAAAATTCTAAGTTTACTTGTTTAACTAAGAAATTTATATTGCATTACATGCAAACGCTATGAAATCTACACGTATGTTTCAATGTTAAGCACTAATTTCTAGCTTGATCTTAAATTTATCATTTAGGGATTCATGAACCTGACAATTTGGAGATCATCGTTGTGTAAAGTAGTACATGTGTAGAATTAGTGTAGAATACGGAACTTGCATCCATGAAAACACACTTTACAATCATCACGTGTCGATTTACGACTCACTCCCTAACTTCACTAACGGTACTATTCTGTTAAATAGTTTTTATTCATTTATACATTACTATGTTTTTTACATATGGCTTGTCTGGAAATCGTGTAATTTATAGTTTTTGTTTAGCCGCAATACGTGTATCTAATTTCAAAAGATTATCTTTATTTTTTAAAGTCATAGTTTTACTTTGAATTTTTGAATTATAACCTTATTTGTCATGCTGTTTCAAAAATGTAGAATGTAATACCTAATAAACTATATCGTCTTTTATGGCTAAAAGAAGAGTCACCAATGTAAAATAATTTTGATGCACAGGTTGTCTCAAAAAGATAATGCAAAATTATTTTGATTAAGAAGCGTCTATTTACAAAAGACGTAAACATAATTGTAAACTGTAGGTTGAAGCTACAAACTTGGCTTGGTTATGAATGAAATGTATGCGTATGGAATCCCTCATTAGTATGCCGGAGGATATCTACTGCATATTTTATTTATGTCGTGTAATTTTTGAGTTTTCACAGTATTTTTTGGGAGATACACTGTAACCATATTTTGTCAAATCACAAAATTTTTTCAATACTCAAAATTTCTAAGATCCGGACAAAATCCGAGTTGAAGGTTAAAACTCTGACTAAAATCTGAGTATGACGGTTTTAAGATCTGAGTAAAAGTCAAAAAACCTGAGTCAAAGAAAAAAGATAATGAAAAATATGTATTCGTCAAATGTGTATACGATAACAAAATAACATATATAAGAGAGACATTTCCTGAGGAGAAAATCAGATCTTTAGACAAAATAAAAATTAGCAATGTCTACTCTATTTTTTCCTTCGTTTCCACCAAACATCGATTTAAATCAATTAATAAAACCTATGAACCGTAAACAGAAAAGGCCTATTAAAGCTCCAAACGCGTTTATAATTTATCGAATTAATTATTGTCGCGAAATCTCAAACAATGGAAAAATATCTCAGCCAGGAATCTCTTCCATGGCGAGTCAAGCTTGGAAGCTAGAACGCCAACATGTTAAAGAAAAATACTATGATTTGGCCAAACAGGCTCGAGAAATTTATTTGGCTACTAAAAATCACGGTAATAACGGTAGAAGTCAACCTGAAAATGTGCAAGATGTGCAAGCAGCCTTCATCGATAATCAGCCAGAAAATACAACCGAAAGCTATAATCAAGTAACAATCGAAAATTATGCCTTCATCGATAATCAGCCAGAAAATGTGTACGAGAACGTTCAAGCAACAATCGAAAATGATGCCTTCATCGATAATCAACAAAATGGAATTGTCGAGGAGATGGAAATTATAACTGGGAATGCTGGAACTTCTTTTAACCATCCACATGTTGATGTCAACATTAATTCCGATCTTATCAATACGCAAAGTCGCATTGTTACTCTTGAGAACGAACTTGTCTCCATGCAGAATGAAATGATTTCAATGAGACAGACTATATTAGAATTGAACCTTAAACTTATAACTTTATTTGGAATTTAGTTGTATAGCGTTCTTTATATCTCGTTTTAATTCCTCGTAAATAACTACATAAATAGGATAGTTGTTGCTATCATCAGTAACCACAATACGGTACTCGCCACCATCATTTATGTTTGAACATCTATTACGTTTTCAATTTCTTGCTTCAGTGTATGATTATTACTAGAATTATTTATTATTTTGATAGTATGCATGTATGCTTATGTCTCTACAACAATAAAGATACTTCATTCATTCTATAATCTTCTAAATTACATTATCGCTTTAAATTAAAAGAAATGGCATTTTTGTACGTGCACAAATGTTGTTCTTGTTGTTTGCATATTTCAGATTTTGTTTTACTGATACAATTCTCTATTTTTTCTATTTCGCTGTTGAATGAATTAATTCATTTAAAGAAGATGTTCTATTGGTGAATCGGCATTATTTCATATATACAATTAATATTCTTATTTCTTGCTCTTAAATTCAGCTTTTTTGATAACGCTATGGTCGCTCAATTAGTCGGTTCTCTCGAGATGTGTCTCTAAAAGTTGAATATCTTTATTATCTGTTAATATACATACATTTTAGTTGTTATGTACACGACAATTGACCATCAAATTGAACGAAGGGTTTCTTATTTCATCATTTCATTGTTAGTACTGTTAGTAACATATTTCTCTGCAGTTTAACATTTTGTCTTTCACAATGCTTCGATTAGACTTTTGCGATTTTCTCTTTCGTCGTTTTGTTTCAAGTAAACGTAATCGATTAAAGCCAATCAAAAACTTTTAAAAAAATTTTTAGTTTATTTCATATAAATTAAAAAACTCGTGATATTTTTCAAACAAAAAGAATAAATAATAGAAACCAATCAAAAAAATTTTAAAATGGTATAGGCTTGAGTAGTAAATAAAGAACCAATCAAAAACTTTAATGTTCCCGTGATATTTCAGCTCAAGAAACTTTTTTCATTTATTAAAAAACACTTTTTTTAGTTCATTAATATAAATTAATACCTCAAATGTTAATATAAATTAAAACCTCTAAGATTGTCAAATGTTAATATAAATTAAAACTCTAGAATTAATTAAAACCTCTAAGATTGTCAAATGACTCGAGTATATTCTCTTTGTTTTGCAAAAGATAATGTCATTTTGCACAAGTGTAACATTGGTAACACAAATTTGACCAATCCAATTACACGTGGTTTGAGATTTTACGGTATCCCGTATAACACGATTTATCAGAATTATGCTTACTTATTTTTCTTTATTTTTCTATAAAAATATCTTCTTTGTATATATTTGATTTATTATATTTTATGAAATAACAGATATAGATAATCCAAAAATTATTATTAATATATTTCTAACTATTATATCATATCTATATATTAAAAATAAATGGTTACAAGTTCTTGTAAAATTTTTTTTCTGAGATCTCAAATTGGAAATGACTAAAGTGGGAGTAACGCATGAAATTATCAAATTAATAATAATTTTTTAATTAAGTTATTGATATTTAATATATATATACAAGTAAAATTTTATGCTGAACATTTTTACTTAGAAGTTAAAGGCTAGTTATCATAGTAAAATTTTGAGTTATTTACGAATTTTCATTTT